GATGCTGCTCCCCCCCCCCTCTCTCTCTCTCTCTCTCTCTCTCTCTCTCTCTCGTTCCTGCCACCGATCTCTGGAACGCTGCTCTCCACCAGCGCCGTCCACTGTCCCGTAGGTCGACATGCATGCAGACCGCGTTCGGGATAGACAACCCCGCGGACGGCCCGCGGCAGCCCGAGTACGTAGCGGGTCTGGCACACTTCCACAAACCTCCCCGCGTTGAATCTCCCGCGGGAACATCGACATATACAGGGGAGTCGAAGAAAAGGAGGAAAAAAAAAAACTCGAACGGGCTGTAGTTGAGCGCATCGTGAAACTTCAACCTCTCCCAACTTTTCGATGGGCCCAACCCGGGCCCCTGCATCTTCCCGGTTCCTAGTGGGAGATTCACTCTCATTTTGCTCATTTGGTGAGTTCTGGAGCCGGCCCGACGGGATACGCGTGCTTACAACAAAGCAATTTCGTATCTTCGGCCTTCCGAGCACGGCCGACTGCGCCGCTATGTACTTGTATCTGAACATTCGTGCTCCAACGCCGCAACTCTTCTTTTCGTTGGGCCCGCCTCTTGTCCCAGCTGTTTCCCAACACTGGAAGGCGGGTTTGGCGTGGGAATGTAACGCGGAAAGCAGAAGAGGAACAACACAAGGTTGAACAAATATTATGTCCCTCCTCAACTCACCTCTGTCATCTACCCTTGCTTCAGTATCCTCTATAAAAGCGAATAATGAAGGAACTAACAAAGGAATCAATGTCTGAGTGATCTCTCGTACTGTCTGTACAGAGGAACTGTCCCGTAGCTCCCATCTCTCTATCCCCTCCTGTTAGTGCTACTGGATATGGCGTCCTCCCAGCCTTGCACAGTATGCACAGAGAATGAATGAACTAACAACGCAGCACTACTACCAGTCTCTAAGGATAAGAAAACCAACGAAGTGGCCACTGGAACTGTACTTTCGCTGCGGACATCTGCAACGTCCACCTGATTGCGCCAAAGTGGGCATTTCATTCGGCGACTTGCACATTACGAATCAGCCTGCGAAGCATTGCAGACCTCAGATGAATGGTGCCACAGGTCACACTCTTTGTTTGTATTGTACTACTAGCAGGACTCTAACCACAAGGCGTGGAGTGCTGCCACGTCCTAAGTGTGGTGCCTAACCCAATTTCACCATAGCCTTTTCTTTCTGGAAAGTGTAGAAGTATAGTTGTCTGAAATGAGCAAAGCATGGTTAAAATGATAGCAAGCCATAAAGATTTTTCACGATCGCTCACCCCCCCCCCCCCCCCCCCGCCCCAAAAAAAATAAAAAAAATCCATGATTCGAAGTACACGACTCTTAAAAGCAACTGTAATGACCCGACAAAACACAGACTGAGAGCGTACTCACACAGGGGTGGCAGTCTAGCAAAGTCTGCTGAATTTTCTTTCCCTTGTTTGCTGAAATCATACCCCGCCCGGTCACACATGGGTTGCAAATCCGAAAGGACACCAGCGGGAGGGACTCTCTGGCAATTGCAAAATTGGTGCCTCTCATGGTCACAAAGCGTGGAAATTTTCTTTTACGAATTCCCAAAAGGCGAAAGAGAATTTGCCAGCACCTCTCGAGGTGGTAGCAAAATGTCCATCCCCGCGGCCCCCCAGGCCGCTGACAAATGCAACCCCGTTTGCTATTTTGGTGGTCGGATAACAGCAATTCCAGAGAACACTGCTGATTTCTGGGATTTGCCGCTGGAATGTATGCCTCGCTGAGATTCCTGCATTTAGCTGTGATTTCTAAGTCTGTGTGCGTTTGTGTGTCTGTGCCTGCTGGTCTGCGTGCCTGTCTGAGTGCTTGTCGGCCTGAGTGAGTGTGTGACCTGCAAGGGTACTCGTTGGTTGGGACGCCGCGCAGGGCCGGTTCCTACCCGTGGCCGTGACTTTGAGAGTTGCAGCGGGAAAACACTAAGTAGTGGGGGTAGGCCCGCGACACTTAGAGCAGCGGGAAAAACACTGAAGTAGCAGGTAGGCCGGTACCACTGAAGGCTAGAGGTAGGCCGAGCAGAAGAAGACAAAAAGTTGAGTACTTGAGGCCGAGCAGAAGAAGACAAAAAGTTGGCATTTTTAGAGGCTCAGTTGCGGTAGGCTAGAGGTAGGCCGGTACCAGTCCAAGTAGCCTGAGTCTATGACCTGTACGGACGATATCAGAGCCTGCAATGATGTTTCCCTCCGAAAGGGAGGAGGTACCGGTTGCTGGGAGGCCTCGTGGCCTAGGAAGTCACCGCCCAAGAGGCAAGTAGGCCGCTATATCTTCGGGAGGAGCAACTGCAAGGAAAATGAGCAAACGGAAATACAGAAAACAAGCCGCATCACACACATCAATCCAGATAGTCATGACCTCGAACGCGAAATACACCAAATAAGAGCACAGCAGAGCTACAGGACCGACCCCTCGACCAGAACGGAAGGGGGGCCGTCAACCCGGACAGCGACAAATCAGAGCAGGTACATCAATAAGAAGTTGCAAAGCCGTCGCCACCAGCCGCTGCCACGGGCCCGCCCGACCCCCCGTTCGGGGGGCCAGGCAGGGCACCGGGGAGCAGCGGGGCAATGAGGGTGCAAGCGCTGTCTCCTCCCCCCGCCCCCAACCCGACACCACCCCGTTCACGACCAAAACCCTCCCCCAACGGCCCTCCACCCCGCGATTCAGACCACCTAGATATCTACAATGCTGCCAGTGATGTCAACAGCTTTCCGAAGTACGAACAGATCTCGACCAATGCCATCCGCAGGTATGTCCTCACCACACTCACAACCTCGATCCCCCACACAGATGCCACATGCACCAGAAGACCACCATGCATGCCATCCAGCAATGAGCAGTCAAGCCCGGATAGGGCTGCCTGCGTTCAACCCTGCTCGCCCGTGAGTGCATAGCAGCGCTTATGCTTGAAGCAGCGAGTGCCCAAATGCCCAGCCAGTGGCCAGGCCCTTTCCTTTATGGAAAGTGGCTGCCAGTCGTGAATTGTCTGGCTGGTCTGAGCCTCTGCCCAGAAGCTTCCGGTAGGCTCCAAGTTGCTAGGCCTCTGTCCCAGGGGAATATTCCGTAAGGCCTCTGGCAGTTACGCGTGTCCAACTGCCAGGCGTGATGTGTACAGTTTGTGCCTCGTGTCTGGCCCAGAGCCTGCTTGCGATTCTTTCAGGAAGAGCCTAGAAGCCCGAAACAGATGTTGTTACTCATGGCCTGGGCTTACTCAACCAACTGATGCTGCGTAACTGTCTGATTTTCCCCAGTTGTGGAAAACACAAAAATAGGCCTCGCGTAACTTATCAGGCCCGCCTTCACTTAGGGTGGCCTTACGTGCTGAACAGGCCCAAAAGGGCTTACCAAGGCCTTGAGCCTCGCACAAGTAGCTGCTCCTCATTTGCGGTGTGAAAGGATTGGCAACACACTGCTGGAGCCAAGCGCTGGACTTTGAAATCATAGTAGTGGGCACATAGTACTGGCATTGTATCCCGCGAAGTACAATGAGAATGTATAGGGTTGCACTGCGCGCCAAGCTTTTCCGAATTGCCAGCAGCACACTTATTTTCTTTACAGGTTCGAGTTCTTTTCCCAGACCAGTGCTTAAACCATCAGTACACCTGGGCCTGGAGGCGCTGCACTGCTCGCCAAGCTTTTCCGAGTCGCCAGCAGCACACTTCTTTTCTTTTTTGGCTGGTGCCGCCAGCCATGTGGTCCAATAGGCCCGAAGCGTGAAATTTTTGGAGTAGGTGACAAGGAAATCTGCACAGGGCTGGAGCTGTGTACTGGCGGTTTAACCATCTACAGCCACCTTTCCCCACTCACGGATGAAGTACATTTCCAGTCGGTGCCAACCAAGAAAGCGGTGATGGCACTTGCCCTTGCAGTCATGATGAACTTACAACTGAATGGATGATGAAGTCTTGCTGTCACAACCATTTGTTCTATTTAAGATTGGCCTGTTCTTTTAGGCACTTTCTTTTATCATCACGTCGAGTACAGTGCTTAGATTAGCCTCCTGGTAAACAACTTGGTATCTATAGTATCAGTTTCATGACTGCTAATCATTACCATCGGCCGACAGCCGAAAGTTGCTTAAACCTATTTTCATGAGCTGCAGGAGGAGTGGCAATTGGATATGCTGCATTCTTATGCCACTGGCTAGCATTTACCTTGGCGAGCAATATAGAGAAAATGAATTGAAGAAAATGAATTGAACCATTGGGATGGTAAAAGGTGGGTAAGGGGTGAGAAGAGGGCAAGGAATGGGGAGAGGTTGTTGCCTATCCATGTGGTGTGTGTGTCTGAGTTTTACTACGCTCCTGTGGTGAGTGCATAATGATCAGAAGTGAGTCACTTCGACTATCTCAGTCTATCTGCACCCCTTCCTGTTGTCTGGCCGGTCAATGCCTTCTGCAACTAAGGCCATCAATCCTCATTCTCTGGAGTCGTGAACTTTGTGATTCAACCTGAGTTCCAGTGTTCTAACTTTCTGTTTCCATTGCATGTTGTGGTTCTGTCCCTAGATGCACCACATATGCAGCCATGTCTCTTTTGCACGTTTTTCAGGGACTCGTGTTGAAAGGGACTTTGTGGAGGCACCAAGTCAAATGCTGGAGAACTGGTACAAACTCTGAAACCTAAACCTTAAACCCCCATGCCACTATCTTTCCATCCTCATGACAATGCTTGCCCTGTATGCCTTCTTTCATTGACCACCCAAGAGGTGACATGGTGGCGTTGTAGGTCGTCGCAGAGGGCTCAAAAAAAGTTTTTTTAGACCATTGGCATGTGTGGTCGTTGCTTTATTGTTAGTGGAGCCTTTTGTGTTCTGCTGTTTTGTGGTTTTTGGGCCGACGTGGAAGTTTTTTCGGACCTATGGCGGATGGGGTTGTGTTTTCTTGCTGGTTATGGATGGTTTGTTATGATTTGTGGAGGAAATGAGAGGGAGAATTTGGGCTGCTTTAACAACACACACACACACCAGAGGTAAACTGTTTCCTTGTTGGAATAGCTCATCTTGATCTGCTCCACGTAGCTCGCTGTAGAGCGGGGTTGCACACCCGTGACTGGTGACGCTGACAGCCGACCGTTTTCCAGCCGACGCTGACGGCTGGCCTTCTTCTAGCCTACCAGTAGGGCCGACCAGGTTGTAGAGGGCCATCCGCCGCTTTGTTTTCAAATCTGAGTTCAGGGCTGTACTGCACTTTCTGAGTACAGCTCAAATCCCCTGCGAAACTCTTGGGGAAAGAGGGGGTGGGGGGGGGTTTGGTACTGGGGGTCATCGGAGTGGGTTATGGAGGGAAGTATAGGGGTTTATTGGGGGGGTAGAGGGGGTGTTGGGGGGGGTATGAGGGTGTTGGGGGGCGGTAGGGGGGTGTTGGTGGTCTATCGGGGTGTTTGGAGTGGGGGTATGGTTATGTTAGTGGTGTTATTCGGGGTTATTGACCGCACTTTTTCTTTTTTGGTGGGGTGCCGACCAACCGCCGACCGTTTCTGGTCGGCAGCCGACTGAACCTGCCGCCGACCGTCAGCCGTGCAACACTGCTATAGAGGTAAACTGTTTCATTGTTGGAATGACTCATCTCACGTGTGCTTCATTCTCTGCAATTGAGATAAAGTTGCTTTGATTATGGATGTACTCATCTGGGTGAAATAGGGGCTGTTGTGGTGAAAATCTACAATACAAAATGTACTGGAATATATCACCTTTTTACTATGCCTCCTATCATAACTTACAAGTGTGACGGTAAACCACCAATTCACCCATACCTGTTCTGAATATCCCAAAAATCAATTTTGCCGAGCCTGCAAGTGCGCGGGTACTGGCCATTTGTGCTGGACCTGCTGCAAGCTGATGGACCGAAAAGCAGGCCGGGGGTAGTATTTTGTTTTCAATTTTGTATCTCGTTTTTTTATTTTTACTCCGTTTTCACTTATGTCTCATGCCAGTCAGGCTGAAGAAGAAGACAAAAAGATGAATTGCATGGGCTGAGATTTGAACAAATCCGTGGCCGAAAAAAAAATTAAAAAAAATCTGTGGTAGCGGGAGGGCGCAATTGCAGTCAGATGCATTCTGGAAAGTGCTAGTGTGAGTATGCCCTAAGGGCCTTGCTCCACTATGCAAATGTGCAAAACGAGAGTGAATCTTCCGTCAGAAGATGGAAAGATACACAGCCATGATTTTTGTCGTTTCTGCATGTGGAGAGTAGTGGAGCGATGCCCTAAATACGTTCCGTTCCGCAAAGATGCCGTTCCGCAAAGATGCCTGAACTCTTTGTCGTACACTGTAAGTTTCTGGAGTTTGTGGCCACATTCAGAGGCTCGTTGCTTCTCAAAATCAAACCAAAAAAAGGAAAAACAAAATTGAGGATCTCTTGTCGTTTCCTCCCGCCTATCATGGCAGGAGGGCGCCTGACATCACTGAGGGGACGTTTTGTCCCCGTCGGTGGCGGGCTTAGGGCACTACCCACACTCAGATCGTTTTGTTTTTTGTCTTTTTGTCTTTTCTTTTGCCCGTACTTTGTTTTTCTGGGTCTGCCCTATATTTTCTCGTTCTTTATTTCCTCACAATCCTTTTCCACCCGCCAAGTGGTGGGCCTCAGAAGTTCTTTTTTTTTCTTTTAGCTCTTTTGATTTCTTTTCTTTTTTTGTCCCTTTTTCAACGGCCTAGCTCAGTTGGTAAGGCACACAAGTGGCATTCAAGAGGTCTTGGGTTCAATCCCCATTGGCCTCATGTACCTTCCTGGGCAAGCTTGGCGCCCACCACCTAGAGATATGCCATTGGTCCCCCCGAGTGGCATTGAGCAGAGACTGCTGRTRKTCATAGGGGGAGGGGACCGGAGGGGAGGCACAGTGACTGGCCCATCGAAGAAGCTCGGTCCTGATGCTACCGGCTGACCCCTGGCCGGTATCGCCCACCTGCTGTAGCAGGTATCGCACCTGCTGGTGGGTGCAGCTCCCGCATGTTCCCTC